TCTTTTTTTTTTTTTTTTTTTTTTTTTTGTTTTTTCACGAAGTAGTATCACACGACGGCGATCTAAGCAAGGCTTGCTTGACGTAACTCAATGAACTGCGCGCTCACAAAGCAACCGTTGCGTCTCAGCACTCCGTCGACTGAGCGGTGAGCACCCTCTCTTTTCAAAGCCTACCTAATGGACACCCTCCCCCTAGAGACTCTCCAGCGTATCTTTCAGCTCGCGTGCACCGACGGAGGACGTACGGGGAACTCCCTCTCCCTCGTGTCCAGAGGCATCCACTCAGCTGCACGCACGACCCGCTTCCATTCCATCGCCCTTATCGCGAGCCCCCGCCGCCTTCAGTCATTCCTCAACCTTTACGAGCGCGAATGCGACCCTAGGTGCGGTGACAAACCCCGCATACAACACCTGCACGTGGCATTTCCCTGCATCGAGCTCGGACCGGTCGTGCATGTCGTGGACGGCGCCGACATGTTCTGGCCTCTGGCGCACTCGCGCTCGCTCGAACAGGCCCCAAGCCCCCTGGCCCAAAGCAACTTGAAAACGCTCTCTGCCCGGGCGGCTGTAGCGGCTGAAGACGCTTTTGAGGACGCTGCGGGCACATCTACCGCGAGGGCGCTGGAGGCCGCCCCGAAGCGCAATGCGACCCGTCCTAGTATATGGACCAGATCTCTGCTAGCTGTCCGTCGCTACCGTCTCGCGGCCCTGGAACGCTTGACCGGCCGTCATCGCACCGGCTGCGAGTCCGAACACCGGCCCACCCTCCCGAAACACCCAGGCCAAACCACCTACGAGACATACCGCGACGCAGCGCAGACCCTGATTCGATTGGTTGCGCCAGACCTGGTGACCCTGGCCGTACAGTACGGGTTCAGTTACGGAGGCCAGATTTTTCTCCCCATCGTCGATCGTCCATTTCCCCGCCTACTAGAAGCGACTTTCGTAGGAGTGGTGGACCCTCGCACGCTTCTCACCCACCCCGATAGCGAGGCGACCACGCCATTATTCCCAACGCTGACGCATCTGTACATCGTTCCTGCATATGCGGGCGGAACCCCTGGACAAGTTTGCCTCCCGTTCTGGACCACCCATGCGCCTGGCGTTACGCATCTGGGCGTATCGCGCGCGGAGGACTTCATCTACGATATCGCCAACGCGATGGGGCTGCGTGTACCGCGCGAATACCCGTACTATCTATTCAACGGTCTCGCTCAGGCTGGCGATTCGGACTCCAATTATCCGCCGTCACCCCCTCCGACACCGAGATATCCGAGCGTGCGCCATCTGGTGTTGCAGCCTGGCCGGGGTCCCATCGGGGACTTGTGTGGGAATGCGTGGATCGGTCATGACGCAAGGATACAGGCGATGAGGCAGGTGTGCAGTAACTGCGAGGCAATCGGCGTTGAAGCGTTCCAGGCGGAAGCACCTGTGGATGGCCAATTCGTGAACTACTACGAGCGGGCCCGCCGTGGGTGGCTGGAAAGGATAGACGATAACAGGGATCAAGCAGGCGGCTGGCGTGGGTAGTCAGGGACAGCGGCGGCGAAGCAGGATCTGACACTCATGAGACATCGTTGTCTGAAGGTACACGAATCTCTCTTCGTCCTCTTGTGCTCTTGTGGTACCTAGTCGAGAACATAATGCTCAAACGTTTGTGATATATTTAGAATCGCTCACTACTGTGTACAAAGCAGTCCTCCTCTGTTCTATGTACTACCAACCTCCCTTCCTGGCCCATTTGCGTTGGCTGATGCATTCTAAAACATGTTTGGAGTCGCGGATGTCGAGGTCACCAGTGCTTGCAAAGTTCAGCACCGAGGGCGGCAAGTGCGAACGTGCGTGCGGTATCCCGGAGGGCAGGATGCTGTTCTCAAGCTGCCTCTACGTATATACGGGCTCACATTGAAATTTCCGTGACGCACGGTCAGACATTGTTGAGAACGAGGACACCCGGCGACGACGGTAAGGAAGACGGGGCCGGTGCCAAGCGTCTTTGGGGTGGTGAAGGCTGGCGAGGCCGCACTGGATAGGTATCCCGTGACGCTGATGTCTAGGTCGCGCACTCGTCGACGGTGAAGATTCTCCTTGCTAGGACGTAAAGTACCTGACGGAGCTGACCAAGGATCTTCGTTGATATATCAGCTGAGTATTAGCCGATCGATTGTGAGAGCACGACCACTTACAAGAACAGGCTCGCTCAGTATTTGTCGCACGAACAACTCGTCCAGTCGCCTAGGTCAAGATGGACGCAGCGTTGTACAAGGACACCAAGGTCTCCCGAGGTCTCACTTACCACTACTTCTACTCCCCGGCGACGGCGGGATACCCGACCCTCCTCTTCGTGCATGGCTTCCCGTCGAGCTCGTTCGACTGGCACAGGCAAGTGGAGTACTTCCGGCCGAAGGGCTATGGGCTTCTCGTACCAGACAACGTCGGCGCCGGCGGGACATCCAAACCAGACGACCCAGACGCGTTCCGCCTTGCCCTGATCGCACGGGATATCGTCGACCTGCTCGACGCGGAGGGCCTGGAGAAAGTCATCGGGATCGGGCACGACTGGTGATGTGTTAGCAGCGCAATCAGCGGGCGCATGAGTACTGACGTATACCTGCCAACTCAAACAGGGGCTCTGCGATCCTGGCGCGCCTCGCGAACCTGTTCGACGAGCGTTTCCATGCGTATGCCTGGATCGCCATCGGGTACTGGCCGCCGTCTCCGTCTCCGATGGACGTCGACGCCCTTATCGAATACCTGAAGGCGCAAACCGGGGACCCCTGCTACGGCTACTGGAAATTCTTCAGTTCTGACGACGCACACGTGGTTTGCGAGCGGAACGTAAGCACACCTTGTTAGAGTGCCTCCCGTATCCGAGTCGTTGACAGGCCTTCGCTGCAGATCGACTCGTTCTTGCAGCTCGTCTACCCCGAGCACCCTGAGGTATGGTCAGAGTGGCTAACCCCGCTAGGGAATGCGCAACAATGGGTGGAGGAGAACCGCACGCCAGGCATCCCTGCTTGGTTAACGCAGGAGGTGAGTGTCTCATCAAGAGCGAGAACTTCGCCTGACGTCATGTCTAGGAATATGGCACCTTGCGGGAGACTCTTGTGAATGGCAACCTCAGGTCGCTGCTCAATGTCTACAAAGGGATCGTCAGAAACCTGAACGTCCCGGACGACGAGAGTACGTCGTCGAACTCACTCATGCAGTGGCATCTGGCCAAGCGGTCACTGGTGATCACGGTGCTGACATCTTTCTGGCCTTATCAGGGATCCCCCAGGAGGCCTGGACAATCCGAAAACCGGCGCTCAGTATCTTCACCCTTCGCGACGCTGCGGGCCCGCCCGCCCTTCAGAAGCAGAACACGGAGAAGTACCTGCCTTACGGCAAGGTCGTCGAGCTGGACGTCGGCCATTGGGTGCAGTTCGAGGCGACCGAGCAATTGAACGCAGAACTTGGGAGCTGGATCGAAGGTCTCGGTCTGCAAGGGCCTGCATGAGAAGGGTATGAAGTACAACTTCACTTGAACGTGGAATGTCACCTGGACGGATTGTCAAATCACGAGTCTATCGCTCGACAGTTGCCGGGACTCCCGCTGTTCAAGTCGGTCTTCGGGCTCTGCATCTGCCCCGACTTCGGTGGAGTTAGAGTGTGGCAATGGGCCACATTACCGCCGGCCGCAGCGGCCGGATGGAGAATCGATTCCAACCGCCAGAGAGTTGTGTAAGCGAAAGAGAGCTGAGGTGCGGCGCTCGTCGCGGCGATTGGCATGTGTCCCACGTGTCTTCCACTCCGCCGCCCGCATCGCGTTCCAGAAAGCGAAGCACTTCAGAAGAGAGAGTGAGTGTCTTTGGCGCCGCGGAACGACTCCGAGTCGGACCGAAGATCAAGTCTTAGCGCTGCATCGGATATAGATATAGATAGTATCATGCACACCGTTACCGGTTTACCATGTACGTATCCCATCTGATGTTCTGCGTGCGCCGCGGAGGGGGTAACGAAGCTGGATTGGAGGTACCGGAGCGCGCAATCATGATGTGAGGCGGGGAGCATCATGCACCTCTGCAGCCGGGCGGCGCAAAGAGCTACGGCATGACATACAGAAGCATTTGTGCGGTATGCTTCCCCTCTTGCTGCGGCCGGGAGCTTATGGCGGACCGTGACGGGGACGCTCCTACTGAGCAGCTGAGATATGTTGACGAAACGAAAGCTGACACAACCCTGATATTTGGTAATAGAAGGTGAAAGGCGTAGGGCCGACATGGCATTGACCGTACCTTCGAGTCTGCGGGACCATCGCACGAGATACTGAGTACAGGAGCCTCGAGGCAAGCAAGTTCGAGCCAGGCAGTCAAAGTACTGCTCAAGAAGGCGCCATCACTCGGCCAGCTAAACACGTTTAGGCGCCACTTGGCACCGCCACTGCGGCGCGCCGTTTTGTAAGGCCAGTACTTACAACTTTGAGGTTGCAGCTGCATACTTCCCCCTACCCTCATACTCGCAAGTAACTGCCGCCACCTTTTGTGTTTCTCTTCCTGCTGCAGCTGCGGCTCTACAAGTTCACGCCGCATATCCTTCTCTGCAAGGGTGCTCCTCCGGCGTACTACATCTGGCGATCGGCACGGCGGTACTCCGAGGCGCGATAAGAAATTAAAGATGATAGGCACAGCGTGCCATCTACTAGGAAGCACTTAAGCATGCATAACGTTATTCGAAGCAGGACCCGGGGCGCAATATTCCTTGAATACGCCCTTCCTAGGCGCCACTGAACCTGCCGGAACGCGCAACTAAGTACGTCCGTACTGCAAATTTGCATCTGGTTAGAGTTTCTTGGTAATATCTGGCTAATTCGGAGAAGCGACCTGAGCCTGACATTCAGGGCGTCTTATTACCGGAGCGTCCCCATCACCGGAACTTCTATGTCTTGAACGCGATGTTCGAAGCAACAACAGAACAGGTACTATGACTGGGATCGGTCACGGTGGCTGGGCCACATTATCTCATCTAAATCCGGTGACCCCGCCTCGTTGCAATCTCCTTCCCGCGTCACACTGGGAAAGTGTTCAATTGAGGGGGGCAGCGAGTGCGATCATAGGGCGCAGAGCGGGGGGCGCACTGACCAGGAGGCGGCGATGAGCTGACTCGGAGTCAGAGGAGCACGAGGTCACTGGCACGTGGGTGTTACACATCCGCCGCTCACTCCTATTCACTGACGTCAAAACACCTCGCAGAATGCGCCGAACTACTAGCAATACACGCGTCCGCCTTGACGCTGTCGGACGGCGGTCTAGTAGTGGCAGTGTTCACATCGTGCTCACACGTTCTCACGTACTCTACTCACACGTTGTGCTTCGCGCCGCAAAGTTCGGGTCTGAGCAATCCTGAAGCTGCGGGTCATGTCCATATTGGTCCCGGTGAGCTCATTCGAGTTGGCCCTATCTGACCCGCTGAGCTAAGTAGCAGTCGCATACTTTCGACCAATTTTCCGCCGGAATCCGCAGTATGCATGTCACGTTGCAGTCTGGGGGTTCCGAGTCAGGGTGGGCCTGGGTGGCAGTTATATAGCCATCATCAGATGTCCTCAACCCCGCTTTAGCAGACACTCACTCGGACTAGCACACTTGGCACTGGCATGGAGTCTTCCACCCATCTCTTTCGAGTCTTTTTGAACAAACCAACCTCTCAGTGCGACACCTCGCCCGCAGAATACCCACTCAGCAACACCGCCCTCATGTACGATGCGCGTAAGTACACGGTTCCGCGACGATATCCACCTACTCGTTTCGAAAGTAGAGGCTATGCTGACTACTTCTACCACCGGCAGAGCCTGGCACCTTTGAACACCCCATGGACAATATTGACCGTCACGGCCACGCACTGAGCTCTGATCATGGTGAGTGTTTCAGAGTATACACTGAACATGCTGGCCCTGACTCCTGATACTCTCAATGTAGCACTATCGCCGCCGGGCTCCACGGAGCTGCGAGGACACAGTACTCCATCTCGTACTCTGATCTTCATGGCGGTATGCAAGACTCTGGAAGCTGAAGAAAGGCACAAAATGACCAGACACTGCATTGTAGTGCACCAACTGCCGGGTAATCAAGAAGAAATGCACCGTTGGTGATCCTTGCGACCCGTGTATACAGAAGGGCAAAGAACACACATGCACCAGACCCACGAAGAGGGCATCCGTGCGGCCCGGCGCTCCGAATCAAGGCACCTACTTCCAACCCTTTCCCCCGGAAATGTCGGGTCAGTCCTCTTCCCATATTTCCACAAAATTCCTGTATCTAACTTCATTTGATTTAGAATCTACTCCTTTCGTAGCCGGGACTGAACCCATACCAGGGGCGGCACCGGTGGCACCCACCAATAACTTCTCACCCTCAACCTCGAGCCAGGTCGGCCGCAACGGCGCGCCAGACCTCCCGTGCTACTGTCCAAAGCACGGCTACACATACACAGAGGAGAAGAACGTTACGCATGCCAAATATACGGCCGGAAACAGCACTCTGAACTGGCAAATAATGAACGAATCGGAGCCGGCGCGGGGTCCGGCGTACCCTCAAGGCCACCAGTGGGTAAATCTGGTCCCGAATACGATGACCTACAATAACAGTCAAAGCCTGGATTGCCGCGGCACTCATACACACAATGAATACACTACAAACACCACCGCCGAGTCCTACGAAGCTACCTCCGCAGTATCAACCCGGCCTTTTCCTAGTTACTACTATTAGATACTGATATCACGGTCATCGTTGCGAGACATAGCAGCACTTCTCGATACTCCGCACCATCGAATTCGTATATCCGGATATGCCTGCCGTGTTAACAATATTTACCACTCGCTCGTCTGTTCTGTAGGTCGCTGAGGTCAACGTCGCTATGTAATATATATAAATTATACTTGTAATCACTCAAACGAGGTCGTAGTACTCCGCGTCCGCCATCCGGCGGGGTTTCACACTGGCAAGTGATATCATATGGACGTGATGAACTCTGAACCTGGAAGGCTGTAAGCCGCACAAAGAGAGGTCTTCAGTCTGTGAGAGAACGACTATGATTGCATAGTACTGTACCTGTAAGCCGCACAAAGAGAGGCTACAAGTACTAGTAAGTAAACATGTAAGGAAGCATAGGTAGTGTGGGACTTACTCTTCAGTCTGTGAGAGAACGACTGAAGAGCAGAGGCCTGCAGAGTCCTCCTTATATACTACTGGGGAGGACGATGAGTAAGCGTATAAGAAGAGAGCATGTGACGTCCAGAGGACGCTGACTGAGCGATGAATAACGCTGAGTAAGGAGCATAATCGACATAAGGTCAGATAGTCCATGGCTGAGTAATGCGAGTAATCCGGACGCTGTCTAGAATAGTCCGGAACATCGTAGAACGTACCAGA